AGGCCAAGAGGCAGCCGGCAACTCCCCCCGACACGCTGTGGCCCCATGTCCCCCCACGCTGACACACACTGGCTGGCTGTGGCCCCAACTAATGGCTCCCACTTGGCCACCTGGGCCGCCTCCCTGCACGGGTCCAGTCTGGCGGCCAGGCCCTGCCCACTTCACTTTCTTCTAGGAGCTTTGCGGGATCCCTTCCCCCCAGTTTGAGAAAGACACCAGGAAACTACAAAATGTGTGACAGATGGGCCCTGAGGCGCCTCCCAAACAGCCTTCAGGCTCCATCTGCAGGGGGACCCTCGGGGCTGCAGGGGGACCCCAGCTGCCCAGCCCAGCGCATGCCCGGAGCTATGCCCAAGCTGCTCCGCTGCCCGGTGCCAGCTAGCCAGCCCAGGCAGCAGCGTGGACCCTGGCTTCCCATCCAAGCACTGTGGTGTGAGGTTGTCAGGGCTCTGGGCGGTGGTCACCCGACAGGGCGGTGCCCGGTCCACGTACCCCTGCAGGCCAGGAGCCGCACCTCTGTCCCCACCCCGCCGATCTGCTTCCTCTGATGTGAGACTGAGTGGGAGCCTCCAGCTCCACTGCTCTGAGCTTGCACACAGTGAAAGAGAACCAGCGAGTGCCTTCGTGGCTGAGGACGTGGCCCAGGGACATTACCGGGGACATGGCTGGGGCCGAGCGTCTGCTGCATGCCATTAGCCCAGGCTTGATCCCTGGCAACCCCAGATGCTGCCCAAGAACCTCCAGGAGTGATTCCTGAGTACAGAGCCAGGCGTTAGCCCTGCACATTGCCATGTGTGCCCCCCCCCCCAAAGATACGTGGCTGGGACGTGGCTCAGAGATGTGACTCAGGGTCATCGCTGGACGTGGTTTAAGGACATCACCGGGGAGGTGTCTCAGGAACGTGGCTGGGATGTGGCTGGAACACGGCCCAGTGTGGTGGCCGTGACATGGCTGGGGACGTGACTCTGGGGAGGTCCTAGGTTCTGGCCTTAAGTGGCAGACGTGTATATCAGATGGAGACGAGAGAGGCCCTGCTCCCTCCTGCCATCTCCTTCTCTTCCTGCTTCTCAAGACTTCTCTAGTGCTGCAGATACATGGTGTTTTTTCAAAGAAATGGATAAAACCCCGTTGGACCGGGGCATCAGATGCCTGATCGATGCTTTCCCTCAAGAGAGGCCCACGGACCTCGCTGGAATCAGCATCTGACAGATGACTTAGGGGGAAAAACATTTTATTTTGTTGCTGCTCCAAGAAAGGTAGAAGGAAACGATGTCTTTGTGCTACCTGCCAGCCGCTGCCATGGAGATGCTGAGCTCTATCAGGAGGCGCCTCCACCCCGGGAACCCGCGCCCACTCGGCAGCACCCAGGAGGGAAAAATACAAGGCCCCGACACCTGGAACCCCAGCCCCGGCCACGGAACGTGACCCGTGCTGGGTTAGAGAGGATAAACGAACATGTCTTTAAAGACAAAGCTGCAAGGGCAGCTTCCAGAGTCGGGGGCCCTGCCTGGTGCCGTGGGGCCTTCGGGAGGCTGGGGACAGCGGGAAAACCAGGCCAGGCCCGACGTGTGTCCCCCACACCCCAGCCCACAGGCTCTCTGTTGCAGGCACACCCCCTGGCTGGCTGGCCCTCTCTGCCCAACCCTTGACAGCTCGGAATGTCGCCTCCGTGCATTCAGAAGTCATTTAAAGTCACACTTTTGGGCTGCCGATCTGCTCTTAGCACCTCTGATTTGTCAACCATCAGCCTCCTTGGCCTGCTGGAGTGAGGCTGGGTTTCGGCTCTCACACCCCATTATCGCCTGCCAAGCTGGCGTTCCCACCATTGCTCAGAGAACGGTTGCAGGCTGCGGGTCGCTTGCAGCGGAACTTGTCACGGTGCTGATGGCGCTGGGCAGGCAGCCGGCCTCGCTCCCCTCTGAGGCCTGGAGGGCCACAATGTGTGCGCCAGAGCTTGGCCCACCCCGGGCTGATGTCACTCATTTCTAATATTAGCGGCTGACGAGTGCGGGCCCGTCCGCAGCAGAGAGCTTTTATCCTGAGGTGAACAGAGGCAGAGGCTGAGCAGGAGCCTGGGGCCGACTTCCTCCTGGTACTTCTGATGCAGCTCAGGAAAAGAAAGACGGTCCTGAAGCACATGGGAAAGTGCTGGGTCTCTGGGAAACGCGGGGTACCTGCCGACTCTCAGGGTGCCCCTTCGTGTGCGTGCGAGGAGAGCGGGAATCGGGTGAGGTTCCGGACTTGTTGGGTCACAGTGTCGCCCGGGTCACAAGGGGGCTAGAGAAGATTCTGGAGCATGCTTGGCCTGGCGGGCTGCTGACCCCGCCGATCGGGATGAGGGGCCCACCAGGAAGTGCGCTTCTGGTTCTGTGTTGGGGCTCTCGAGGGCAAAACTGCTGGTGCAGGCATCTCCGTCCGGGGTGTAACTGGGTCACCCTCTGCACTCAGCCACATGCTGGGCAGGGTCATGGGGGCCCCACTCCTGACGCGGGGGACGAGCCTCCTGCCTTCCCACCTACAGGGGCTCCCGGCAGGACGCAGGGATGGGCTGTGAGAAGTCTCCCCCTGAGCAGCGCCCCAGGGGAAAGCATGCTGAGAGAGAGTTCAGGGACTCCGTCACCCGCACACTGCCACCCCGGGCGCTGTTCTCCTCCCAACGGGTTTGGCCTCGGGTTCCGGAGCAGCTGGTGCTCCGGGTTGAGCTGCAGTGGGACGGAAACGCCACATTTAGCACTTGCAGCCTTGCGTTTTTTTGTGTTTTATTTTGCTGACTGTCCTCAACTTTCTCAAGCTTGCTCTTCCAAACCAGTGTGGTGGCAGAGGGAGCAGTTTGCCCAGATGCTGTCACGAGGCGGCAGGCGCTGTCCCCCTGCCCCCCTCCGTCCCTGCTGCCCTGTCACCTGGCCTTGCCCTCTCTGACTCGTTGCAAAACCTCCCCTGCTGCTCCCCTGGGTCCCCCCCACCTGCCATTCTGAGTCGCGGGGGAGACGCGCCGATGACAGGAAGCCACACCCTAACCCTCTGCACCCACACTGTTACGAAACCAACCCCCACCCACGGGTGCTCCCCGAGATGGCCAGGACTCGCCCTGCTGGGCTGGGGGCTCCTCCTGCCTCCGGGGTCAGAGCAGGTGGTGCGCGGGGCACACGAGAACACTGACCTCCCAGCCCTCTCCAGCCGTCTTTCCTGATCTGGGGTCAAGACCCCAAGCCTCCATATCCGAGTCTCCCGAGGCTGAGAAGCTGCCGTGAGCAGGGCCCCGTGCAGGAGAGGCCCTGGGGGTCCCATGGCACCTGCAGGGGCGGGGGCTTCCCGGGCTGCTCACCACGCAGCCCCATGGGGAAGAGAGTGACTGGGAGCCCTGCTCCGGGGTTCCTTGCGGTGCCCGTTGGCGCAGGAGCGATGAGCAGAGGGAAAGACAGGCAGCAATGCCAGCCCCGGTCTGAGGACCAGGGAGGTGCCCACTGGTTGCCACTATTGGGGGGGCGTGTCACACCAGCTCCAGTGACCCAGCACCCATGTCCCTCTGCTGTGGGCAGCTCTGGGGTGGGACTGTGATGACCCCCCCCCACAAGGGACTCTGGCGCCTGGTCTCCTGTCCTGGAAGTGCAGGGGGTGTCAAGGGGTGGAAATGGGAAGGAAGAACCAAGCCCAGGACTCTGCTCAGCCTCTCACAAGGTGGCTCTTACTGGCCTCGGCACGTCTGCTTGGGGACAATGGTCTCTCAGTCAGGTTGTTGTTACTCAGCCAACAATTAACACATGGTCTGTCTTCATGTGTCAGCCCTGAGAATACCGTGTCACCATATGCCAGCTCTGTGAGAATGTGTCCCTCTGTCACCTGCGTGTCAGCAACATGAGACCATGTCCCCGTGTGTCAGTCTCGGTGAGACTGTTTCCCCATGTGTCAGCGCTGTGAGACAGTGTTCATCTGTGTCAGCCTCTCTGAGACCGTGTCCCCATGTGTCAGCTCCATGAGACCATGTCCCCAGGTGTCAGTCTCTGTGAGACTTTGTCCCAGGAGTCAGTCTGAGAGAATGTGTCCCACGTGTCAGTCTCTGTGAGACAGTGTTCATGTGAGTCTGTGTTCTAGTGTGTCAGCTCTGTGAGACTATGTCCCAGTGTGTTAGTCTCTGTAAGACTGTGTCCCCCTCTGTTAGCTTTGTGAGACTGTGTCCTGCGTGTCAGCTTTGTGAGACTGTGTTATAATCAGCTCTGTGAGATGGTGTCTGGGTGCATCAGTCTCTGTGAGACTGTGTTCCCCCTCTGTTAGCTTTGTGAGACTGTGTTCATGTGTGTCAGCTTTGTAAGACTGTGTTCATGTGTGCCAGCTCTGTGAGACTGTACCTGCATGTGTCAGCTCTGTGAGACTACGTCCCTGTGTGTTAGTCTCTGTGAGACTATATCTTTGTTTGTTAGCTCTGTTAGACTGTGTCCTGTGTATCAACTCTGTGAGACTGTGTCTAGGTGTGTCAGTCTCTCTGAGACTGTGTCTCCCTCTTAGGTCTGTGAGACTGTGTCCTCCCCTGTCAGCTCTGTGAGACTGTGTCTGGGTGCGTCAGTCTCTGAGGCTATGTCCCCCTCTTAGCTCTGTGAGACTGTGTTCATGTGTATCAGCTCTGTGAGTCTGTGTCTCGGTGTGTCAGTCTCTGTGAGACCGTGTCCCCCTGTCAGCTCTGAGCACGTGTCCACATGTGTCAGACTCTGAGCATGTGTCCCTGTATGTCAGGCTGTGGTGGAAGATGTGTCTCGGGGGTGGATGAGTTGCTTCCTTGCCCCTGAGCTAGAGATCACATTCCGGGAGAGGGAGGAAGCAGCACTTCTGTGGATGAGTCAGTCAAGATGACAGTTTGGGGTGAAACACCTCCTGGGGGTGCTGTGTGCTGATCCTGTGGAGTCTGTGCCTTTTGGGGTGACAAGGGCGGCCAGGCAGGGTTGGGGCACCGCAAACCCAGGCACAGTCCCTCCAAACACTGACACATGTCGCTTTTTCTGTTCCAGGAATCTCGGCAAATCGGGACTCAGAGTTTCTTGCTTGGGTCTTGGTGAGTACTTGGGGATGGGGGTGGGGCACAGCTGGGAGAGGGCGGGAGCTGGTCTGACTGCCACCACCATGCTGCCCTCCTGGCTCGGGCTCATGTCCTCAGCCCTGTGGAGCCCTGAGGGTGGGAATGGACCTGCAGCCGGCTGCTGCAGTCCCCCTGGGCCTCGCTCCTGCCTGAGTGCCTTCATTTCCCTCTGCTGGACCTTCTCTCTGTGCTGTGAGATGTTTCGTCACTGACTAGGCACTGTGGGGCGCGGTGACGGGAGAGGCAGAGGGGCTCTTCCCCCAGGATGTAAGTCCATTTGGACGTCCACTTACTGGCTTGGGGTCACACCCGAAAACCTGGCATGCTGGCCGGGCCCCCTACGCCACGGAGTGTCTCTGGCCCAAACACAGCTGCCAGACAGAGGGGCTGACAGAGGGGCTGTGGGCAGGGTCTATCCCCAGCACCCCGGAAGGCTGTGGCGGCCAAGTCCCACCACTGGGCTGTTGGCCGGAAGCAGGTGCCAAGTCCCGAGGAGCAGGGCGAGGGAGCCTCAGACTCCGTGGGGACTCTTGGGAATGAGGGGAGCTGAGACGGGGGTGGCAGGGCACAGTGGGGTGCAGGGTGCAGTGGGGCGTGGCGGGGTCCCATGGGGTGCAGGGTTAACAGAGGGATGAGAAGGGATGACATGCCCTGGGGGAAGCGCCTGCAGGGAGCATCTGTGTCTGAGTGGGGTCCATGGGGGGCCGCACTCCAGGGGCACCTTCACTTTGTTCCCGAAAGGGAAGGGGACTCAGCCTTCCCTGGCAGTGGTGGCTGCCACTGGCCCCTGGATCCACTGCCTCTGGGTACTGCTGTCCACTCACAAGCCGAGGCGCAGCCTGACTCAGAAGTGGCTCTGCTGGCCCCGGGTCAGGACGTGTGGGCTCTGGGAAGCGTCCCCCCATGGCTCAGCGGAGCCAGGTTCGGGATGAGGCCAGCGTGGAGTAACAGTCAGAGGGCTTGGAAGCTGGCAGCCACGGCCTCGGTGACACCGGGACCAGCCCCAGGCTGAGCCGACCTGCCTCAGCTTCTCCCAGAGCCTGAGACTGGACAGGAAGACTGGAGGACAGAGGGCCAAGAGCTGGACTTCATGTGGTTGCTAGAATGTCCCAGAGCTGTCCCCACAAGCAGAGAAGTAACGCAGCAGAAGAGTAAAGCCATGAAGTAATGCAGCAGAGGAATAATGCGGCAAAAGAGCAACACAGTGAAATAACATAGCAGAGGAGTAATGCAGCAGAGTGATGCGGCAGAGGAGTAACAGCAGAGCAACAGCAGAGTAATACAGCAGAGTAACACGGCAGAATAACACTGCTGAGTAATGCAGTAGAGGAGGAATGCGGCAGAATAACACAGCAGAATTACACAGTCAGAGTTACAGCAGAGTAACGCAGCAGAGGAGCAACAGCAAAATAATGCAGCAGAGTAATGCAGCAGAGTAACAGCAGAGTAATGCAGCAGAGGAGTAACACAGCAGAGTAACACAGCTCAGGCATGTAGCAGAGGAGTAATGCAGCAGAGGAGTAACAGAAAAATAGTGCAGCAGAGTAATGCAGCAGAGTAACAGCAGAGTAACACAGCTGAGGCATGCAGCAGAGGAGTAATGCAGCAGAGGAGCAACACAGCAGAGTAACACAACTGAGGCATGCAGCAGAGGAGTAATGCAGCAGAGGAGCAACAGCAAAATAATGCAGCAGAGTAATGCAGCAGAGTAATAGCAGAGTAACGCAGCAGAGGAGTAACAGCAGAGTAACACAGCTGAGCAATGCAGCAGAGGAGCAACACAGCAGAGTAACACCGCCGAGGAGTAACACAGCAGAGGAGTAACAGAGCAGAGTAACACAGCTAAGTGATGCAGCAGAAGAGTAGTGCAGCAGTGCTGAGTCTTGCATCACTCTGCTATGCCCCATGGTGCTGGACAGGGTCCCAGTTAGACTGGGCTGTCACTCCTGGCAGCCCACGCTCACATCAGCCAGACCTCTCAGAGCGTGCGGAACGTGGCACGTGGGTCTCTGCTGGCACTGGCTAATGCTGAATCTCCGTAATGAGCTGATCCCCCTGTGTGGCCAGGCCCCCTGCCCCCCATGAGCCCCCACGTGTGGCCCCAGGCCTCATCCTGGAAAGGGGAGTCAGGACATGCATGTCTCCCTCTTGTGCAGCCGTTCTCTCTGCAGTGTTTGCAGCCCCAGGAAGCTGCTGCAGCCCCTGATGCTTCCATGTCTGGCCGTGCTCAGGCCCGGGGGGGCTTCAGGGCCTTGGCCTGAGTTCAGGTCCCCGAGATCTTACTCATGCTCCGGGAACCCAGGCCTCTCCCTGTTCAGCTGAGGGACTTTGTGGGGCTTTGCAGAAGGACCGTGACCCTCTCAGCACTGGGCTCTGCTGCTGCCAACACATTTCCAGGTCTGGCTGCCGCGGGGGTGGGGGGCGGGGGGTAGGGCCCACTGCTGGACATGGCTGTGCAAGACAGGCAGGATGGAGGCTGGACCCCTGTGCGGCCAGAGGAGGGGTCGGGCTCCGAGGAGGGGCAGGCACAGACCATCCACGCTGGCGTGAGACACCGACCTTCCTAAAGGCAGCTACTCCGACAGAGGCCATTTCCGGCGAAGACCCTCCTTCTGGGCCTTCTCCCAGCTTTTCTCCACTGGACATGCAGGTGGACTCCAAAGAAAGGGATCACACATCCCAAACCGGGATTGGGCAATTCCGAAATGCTATGCCTAAGAAGTTTCGGAGGGGCGGGTGGTGACGGGGAGGGGTGCACTCCTGGTCCTGTGTGCTTGCATCGCGCCTGGGCTCTCCCAGACCCAGTACGGCCTCCAGGGCACCGTGCCGTCTGCCTGGCTCGGGGGCGTGAGGGAGCATGTGAGCCTGGAGCAAGAGTCTGGGTGACACCCCAGTGTCTTCCTCAGCACAGCCGGGCCCAGAACAGCCCTGGCTCAGGGTGCATTTTCGTCAAGGTGCATTGGCCTGCACCCATCGGTGCTCAGGCCTTGCTCCCGGCCCTGTGGGATCACTTCTGGGGGCTCAGAGGCCATATGTGTTGTGGGGATTAAACTCAGATTGGCCGCGTGCAGAGGAAGTGTCCCCACCCCTGTCCTGCTGAACTGTTGCCCCCGCCCAGTGAGATGAGAATGTCTTGAAAACTCTTCTGCCCTACTTTAGAAGCACTTGGGGGCACTTGGTGAACACCTCCAGTGTTTTGGGGGCCACACTGTACTCAGGACTTACTCCTGGCCTGTGTGGTACCTGGGATCAAACCATGGTTGGTCACATGCAAGGCCAGCGCCACACCCCAGTCCTGTCTTTTGAGCAGGACGTTATTTCTATTTTATGTCTTTTTTTTTTTTTTTTGGTTTTTGGGTCACACCTGGCGATGCACAGGGGTTACTCCTGACTCATGCACTCAGGAGTTACTCCTGGCGGTGCTCAGGGGACCATACGGGGTGCTGGGAATTGAACCCGGGTCGGCCGCGTGCAAGGCAAACGCCCTACCCGCTGTGCTATCGCTCCAGCCCCAATTTTATGTCTGTTTTTGAGCTTGAAGTCATTGCCCCTGTAACATCAGGCTGAGGCTGGCTGTGACTGTCAGACTCAGAGAAGCCAGAGCTGCGGCTGGCTGGTCCTTGGGGGTCGGAAGTCCTGTTAATCGAAGGATTATGCTAAATCATCTTTTATATCCCCTCCTTTCTGTTTCCCTACATTCCTAAAGCTTCTTAGTCAGGCAGCTGGCGAATCATTTTCTATTTCTCCTTTGAGTTTCCAGAGGTATTTAATGCGGCAAGTGCCACAGAGGGTTTCCACGCGCTGATGTAAAGTAGTTTCCCTTCTTTCTGCCGCATGCCTTGGATTTATCTCCTTGGCATTAAAGAAAGCCTCTTGCCCCCCAGGAAGTTCCCTTTTCCCTCCTCACTTCTGGCTGCTGGGGGAGCAGACGCAGAGTGATTCCGGATCAGGACTGCTGGGGGCCGTTCTCCGGGCCCACCACACACGTGTCAGAGCACAGAGCTAATAATGGCTGCGGACTGTCTAGAAGGGTGCCTGGAACACACCCAGACTGCGGACGGCTGCTCCCCTGTCCTGTCCCAGGGCTCACGTGGCCGAGGGTAATCCAGAAGAAGAGGGGGCACACATGCCAGCATGCCTGGCTGTGGTTCGGGGGCAAAGGACTTTCCTCCTACAATTCTTTTAGTCTGGCCGACCCAGGTTCGATTCCCAGCATCCCATATGGTCCCCTGAGCATCGCCAGGAGTAATTCCTGAGTGCAGAACCAGGAGTCACCCCTGTGCGTTGCCGGATGTGACCCAAAAAGCAAAAAAAAAAATTCTTTTAGTCTGTGGGGCAGGGGGAGTGGGGAGTGTGGGCCACACTGCGTCCCTGGGCCTGCCTGTAGAGAGACCGTTGTCTATGTCCCTCTCCCTTTGGCATGGCGTCCCCTCGTCCCGTCCAGGCCATGCCGGTGGCATGACTGTGCCTCCCCGGGCCCCGTGGGATTCCCGCCAGGCCCACTTCCTGCTGCACTCACCCCCAGCAGGCACCTGCATCCACGCCCGCACTCTTGAACCCACAGTGCGATGAACAGGCGTGTGTAGCCCTTCAGAATGGTTTTGCTGCTGGTTGCATTTGGAGCAGGATATCTGTTTCAACTGTGTGGCGAAAAGAGTTCAAACACGCCAGAAAGATTGGTTCACCTGAGCATTTGGGGGCTTCAAGCAAATTCCAAACAGGAGCTGAGGCGCCCTGTGACCCCAGGGAGATGGGGATCCATGGCCACACAGCAGCGGGCCGCGCACGGGGCCTGGGTCATCGCTGGGGGGGAGAGAGTGACGGCCTGGGGTCTCCTGCACCCTGCTCTCCCTTCCCAGAGAGGGTGCGGCCCCAGCTTCTGCTGCCCCACACAGAGCTGCTCCCCACCCCCCCACACACTTGTCTGAGTGTTACTGATGCGGTTCGTGTCCCACAGCACCCCCAGCACCCCCAGCTCTCGGCCTGGGAGCGGTCCTTTAAGGGCAGCGCAGCAAGCAGCGGCCCTGGACGCCCAAGCCCATCCGGCCTAGGACCCGAGAAGGCAGAGGTGGCACTGTCTGTGGGTCATGAGGGAAGTTCCGCAGCGGACCCTGGTGTCACCCCCTTGGATGGCCCCAGCCCTGGCCTGCCCGGTATCACCCAGCCACCCAGGGACCTCATGACGCCTCTGGGGGTCTGAGGCCTCAAACGGTTGGCTGCCTGAGGCCCCTTTGTCTGGTCTCCTGGTGGTTTCTGTCCTCCACGAGTTGCAGGCATGATGGCCACCCTCTACCCCGAACACGCTCTAGTCTTGTCATGGAGGTCACCAAGGGTGGTCACTCTGGGCAGACAGGGCTGCAGGCCATGTTGTTTGAGAGCCCCAGTCACTGCCTGTGCATGTGAACCACCAGCCATGCCGGAACCACCAGCCACTCCGGAATCACCAGCCATGCCAGAACCACTGACATGCTGGAACCCCCAGCCACACTGGAACCACCAGCCACACCAGAACCACCACCATGCTGGAACCCCCAGCCACACCGGAACCACCAGCCACACCAGAACCACCACCATGCTAGAACCCCCAGCCATGCCGGAACCACCAGCCACACCAGAACCACTACCATGCTGGAACCCCCAGCCACACCGGAACCACCAGCCACACCAGAACCACTACCATGCTGGAACCCCCAGCCACACCGGAACCACCAGCCACACCAGAACCACCACCATGCTGGAACCCCCAGCCATGCCGGAACCACCAGCCACACCAAAACCACCACCATGCTGGAACCACCAGCCAAGCTGGAATCATCAACCACACCAGAACCCCAGCCACGCCAGAACCACTGACATGCTGGAACCCCCAGCCACACCGGAACCACCAGCCACACCAGAACTACCACCATGCTGGAACCCCCAGCCACGCCGGAACCACCACCATGCTGGAACCTCCAGCCACGCCGGAACCACCAGCCACACCAGAACCACCACCATGCTGGAACCCCCAGCCACGCCGGAACCACCAGCCATGTTGGAATCATCAGCCACACCAGAACCCCAGCCACGCCAGAACCACCAACATGCTGGAACCACCACCATGTAGGAACCACTGCCATGCTGGAACCACCAGCCACACCAGAACCACCACCATGCTGGAACCCCCAGCCATGCCGGAACCACCAGCCACACCAGAACCACCACCATGCTGGAACCTCCAGCCACACCGGAACCACCAGCCATGCTGGAATCATCAACCACACCAGAACCCCAGCCACGCCAGAACCACTGACATGCTAGAACCACCACCATGTAGGAACCACTGCCACACCGGAACCACCAGCCACACCAGAACCACCACCATGCTGGAACCCCCAGCCACGCCAGAACCACCACCATGCTGGAACCCCCAGCCACGCCAGAACCACCACCATGCTGGAACTCCCAGCCACGCCAGAACCACCACCATGCTGGAACCCCCAGCCACGCCAGAACCACCACCATGCTGGAACCCCCAGCCACGCCAGAACCACCACCATGCTGGAACCCCCAGCCACGCCAGAACCACCACCATGCTGGAACCCCCAGCCACGCCAGAACCACCACCATGCTGGAACCCCCAGCCACGCCAGAACCACCACCATGCTGAAACCCCCAGCCACGCCAGAACCACCACCATGCTGGAACCCCCAGCCACGCCAGAACCACCACCATGCTGGAACCCCCAGCCACGCCAGAACCACCACCATGCTGGAACCCTCCAGCCATGCCGGAACCACCATCCACACCAGAACCATCACCATGCTGGAACCCCCAGCCATGCTGGAACCATCAACCACACAGAACCCCAGCCACTCCAGAAACACCGCCACGCCGAACCACGCAGCTGCCTCAGAGCCACGCAGCCACGCCGGCTCCTCCTTAGGTCGGTGTGGGCAGCGCCCAGAGCAGGGCGGCAGAGCAGATCTGAGCTTGGTTTCCATTTCTGGAAAGCGGCTGCAATGTAGGACATTGGCTTCTATTTCTAGTCTCTATTCACCAGTCACTCCTTAACAAATGAACTTCCCGAAGGCTGTTTGGCGAGAGCAGAGGAGGCCCCTGGGAACGTGCCGGGAGGGCAGGAGTCGGGGCACAGGGCTGGCTTCGGGCTGTGTTGCTCCCACGCTGAGTGCTCCCAACAGGCACGGGCGGCTTTGCAGACTCCGAGTAGGAAACCAGCCCTTCGGTGTATTGGCCGGGGGGACGCTGGGCTGGCCCCCGAGGTCAGGATGAGCTGGACAATAGATGTTCAAGAGGATGGTGTCCCAGGGGCAGAGCTCAAGCCAGCAGCCCCGGTCTGCACGGTGCCAGCAGGGAAGCGCCTGCCCCATCCTGTGGCCACTGGGGCCACGGTTCCCAGAACTGGGGGAGGTGTCACTGCAGGTCAGCCTGGGCAGTGGGATGTCCCTCATCACGAGGCCTGTTGCTGGGCTAGAGCGGGTGGGCTGGGCTGGGGTGGGGGATGGGGGGCTGCCCTCTGCCCTGCCGCCTCGGGCCGCTGCCGTCCCCCTCACTGGTCTGGGGTCACTGCCATCTGGAGAGCTCCTGCCGGAGGTCAGAGGGGTGCGCCTGGGCTGGGGGGCCGGAAGGACGGGAGTACCGAGCTGTGCGCGGGAGGGGCTGTGAGCCTCAGCCCCTCTGCCAGGAGTGGTGGGGGCCAGTGGTACCGGGACACCACTTCCCGAGAGGGTGTAGCCGGGGCCCCATGTGCCTGCCGGCCCTCCCGGGGGGCTACACTGCTGGGGGCGAGGAGGGGCAGTGACACGCCCCTTTCTTCTCCCACAGGAACATGGGTGACGTTCGGAGGCCAGATCTCAGATGAGGTGAGTGCGGGCAGTGGGTCTGAGCAGGCTGTGGAGGGCAGGATGTGTTTTCCGGGGTGCTGGTCCTTCCCGGGGCTGTTTCCCACCCCTGCCTTTCACTGCTGACAACATAGCAGGTTCTGCAGGATGGGGTCAGTTTTGGGGGGCCGGGCATCCAGTGCTGGTCGCTGCCTCTGAGACCCCAATCTGTCCCGCTGCCCATCTGTCCGTCTGCGCCCAGCTCTGACAGTCTCTGATCCAACACTGCTGCCCCGTGTCCGATCTGAGGTCCAGGAAGTGCCACCAAGGCCTGCGGCCTCCCGTGCTGCCCCCAGAGCCAGGGGACAGTGTCGAGGTTGTGTGGGCCACATGCTGGGACCTGCCCCTACTGTCCCAGGTCCCCAGTGTGGCTGCTGCGGAGACGGGGATCCCACCAGGGTGGGGAGGCTGGGCTGGGTTCACCTAGCTGCACCCAGCTCTGGGGCAGGACCCGGGTGACACAGGCAGGACAGACAGCCCTGGGCAGTCAGGCTCAGGGCGCAGAGCTGGGGCCAGGGTCCCACTGCCCAGGCTGACCTGCAGTGATGCCTCGTCCTTTCGTCCCTGTCACACGGCTGAGGAAGCCAGCAGCGTGTGGTGTTGGAGGAGGCGCTGCTCTGGGTGTGCTCACGGCGGCACTCGGGTCCCCCCTGCAGTCACTCGCTGGCACTGTGCCCACCCCAGCATGTCCCGGTGGGGCGGAGGCAGCCCCAGGGACCCCTCCTGCAGCCTCTCCGACCCTGGGGCTGTGTGGCGGTGGTGGCAGTGACGGGCCCCCTTGTAGGTGGCCGAGCGGCTGATGACGATCGCCTACGAGAGTGGAGTCAACCTCTTCGACACGGCTGAGGTGTACGCAGCGGGGAAGTGAGTGTCCAGGGCCCCGGGCACTGGGCTGCTGTGGGGGGGTCGCTGCAGCTGTCCCCTCCCCTCCGTCCACAGCAGGGAAGGGACAGCGGCCAGCAATGGCCCAGGCAGTGCACAGGGAGGGGCCTGGGGGGACGTCGAAGATCCTGGCCTGGAACCTTTCAGACATGGGCACTGCTCCTCACCCCCAGGGAACTGGGTCCCCCTCGGGGAGCAGAGATTTTGGGGGAAAAGCTGCTGTCTTTCCTCAGTGATGTTTGTCACCAGGCTGTCGGTGCCTCTGGGTGTGACCTTCTGTCCTCATGACCCTCTGGGCTGGCCCCGCAGGCCCCTCTCATGTGACCTGAGCACCGGCCACCTGCCCTCTCACCACCCTTGGGCCCCCCTCTACATTGGGATGTGCCTCAGTTTCTCCCCAGACAGCCAGACCGGGGCTGAGGGGGAGGGGGCCCGGCCTCTAGCTTGTGGTCTCCTATTGTGGGGGGCAGCTGTCCTCACAGGGCGGGCAGAGGCCCCGACAGGTCAGGAGTGAGGGCCGCGTGCACGGGTATCTGTCTGGGGCTGCCTGGACGTGCTGTAGATCCACAAAGACAGACCCTCCCGTGGCGGGGCCAGTGTCCATCCCCTGGACTCACCATTCCCCAGTCCAGAGCCCCCACGCCTTACGTGCTGGGGGGAGGCAGAGAGGTATCCCCTAGGTCCAGGGCCCGGCTGTAGGCGTGTCCAGGGCTGTAGGCACGTCCAGGGGCTGGAGGCGCATTCAGGACTGTGGGTGTATCCAGGGATGTGGGCATGTCCAGGGCTGTAGGCGGGTCCAGAGCTGTGGGCACTTCTAGGGCTGTGGGCGCGTCCAGGGGCTGTAGGCGCGTTCAGGGGCTGGAGGCGCATCCAGGACTGTGGGTGTATCCAGGGATGTGGGCGTGTCCAGGGCTGTAGGCGGGTCCAGGGCTGTGGGCACTTCTAGGGCTGTGGGCGCGTCCAGGGGCTGTAGGTGCGTCCAGGGGCTGTAGGCGTGTATGGGGGGGACAGAGAGGTGTCCCCTCGGACCAGGGCCCGGCTGTAGGTGTGGGGGCCCGTTGGAACCGGAGGGGTTGCAGCGGGCAGGGCCTCTCTGCATGCTCTGGGGTGGGGGCCCTGGGACTTTGGGGGCTGCGTCTTTCCGGCACCACCTCCAGTCACAAGCCCCTCTTCCCCCAGGGCTGAAGTGATCCTGGGAAGCATCATCAAGAAGAAAGGCTGGAGGTAATGTCCATCTTCCCAGGGCAGGGTGTCTCATGGAGCCCAGTGTATGACAGGAGACAGAGAGAGAGAGGGAGAGGGAGGGAGTATGTGAGAGAGAGAGAGAGGAGAGACAGAGTGAGCGAGAGAGAACGTGTGAGGGAGCGTCCTGCGTGTAGCTGAGCTCAGGCTGGTCACTCAGGCAGCAGGTCTCTGCCATGCAGTCCTTGGTCAGAGCTGATGAGGCCGGGTGGTTCTTTGGACGCTCACAGAGGTCAGTGTCATGAGGCTGGAGACAGCCCCGGGTAAGGCACTCGCCTTGCCCACAGCCCCTGCACTGCCAAGGGCCCCCGGGACCTGCCCGGAGAAATTGAGCACAGAGCCAAGAGTCAGACTGAGTGTTGGTGGGCGTGGCTCAAGAATCCAAGCCACCCAGACAGACAGATGGACAGACAGAGCCCAGCCAGGCATGGGGCGTGGTTCTGCCCTGCGGTCCCACGCAAGGCTGAGAAGGCGACACAGGTGGCCTAGACCCCTGTGGCCTGACTCCCTGCTGTGGCCATGCCAGCTCCGAATCTCACTCTGAAGGCAGCCACTGCCCTGACCCTGAGAAGGCCTGAGTGCAGTGACCACCGGGCAGCTCTGTTGCCTCATCCCGTGGTTTTTCCAGGAGGCTGTTGGAGGCCGGCTGGGGGGGCGTACCTGTGATCTGTCCCAGCCTATGTCCCCCAGCCAGGTGCCATGGACCCCCCAGAGACCAGCAACCTCCTGGCTCGTGTCCACGGCTGTCCTGCGGGTTTTTGTGGCTGCTGTGCGCTCCTTGCTGCCTGCCCCTAAGAGATCCCCGGGCAGCACATGCTGCCCTGGGACGCAGTTTCCCACAGGAGACACTGCCCGGAGGCCCGCTCTGCCAGCTCACACAGGCCTCGTCGGGGGGACCTGCCACGTAGAGCCACGGAGCCCCCCAGCCTGGCCCCGATGCCCCCCCCACACAGGCCTCTTCCCGCTTGAGCCCCTCCTCGTCCCCACCGCCCGTCGCTCGGGGGCCTGTCTCTCCAGCCTCCTCCCTCTGACTGCGGGCCCCACCACAGCTTCCTGTCGCTTGTCCCTGCTCAGCATTTGAGATGTGAGGCCCAGGCCCAGAGGCAGTGCGGGTTGGTCCCCGGCACCACACAGGGTCCCCCAGCCCTGCAAGAGGGCAGACCCCAAACGAAGCAAGTGTCAGGACTGATGGGGGGTGACTCGTCATTAATCTGCCTCTCTCCTGTTTCACACGCAGGAGGTCCAGCCTGGTCATAACCACCAAACTGTACTGGGGCGGCAAGTAAGTCGCGGGGCCCTGCTCTGCCGGGTGCGACCGGCTCAGAGAGGTCGTTCCTTTCTTTCCCCATTCCAGAGAAGGCGAGCTGCCTGGGAGCTGGTCCTAGTGAGCATGACCCCAGGGGGAGACTGGATGCAGAGCCCGTGGTCACTTGTACTGAGTGAGTCACGAGCACACACAGCCCCAGATGCCAGCCTCAGACTCAGAGCCGCTTCCAAAATAGAGTCCAAATTTGGGGAAGGAAAATAAGCACACAGCATCGCAAAGAAAAGCTGCTCAAATCTGCCAAAAGGCAGAGAGATTTGCACGGAACGCAAAGATAAAAATACCCTACCCGGCCTCACGTGGAGGGCTCAGCGGGCGCTGCCGAGCTCAGAGCACCGACCTGCGGGGCCGGGAGACCCGGGCTGCAGACACCCGTCCTCAGACAGACAGACGCCCATCCTAAGACAGACAGACACTTTTCCTTGGGACAGACAGACATGCTTCCTCAGACAGACAGACAGACAGACACGCTTCCTCAGACAGACAGACGCCCGTCCTAAGACAGACAGACATGCTTCCTCAGACAGACAAACAGACAGACAGACACGCTTCCTCAGACAGACAGACACCCATCCTAAGACAGACAGACATGCTTCCTCAGACAGACAAACAGACAGACACGCTTCCTCAGACAGACAGACGCCCGTCCTAAGACAGACACTTTTCCTTGGGACAGACGGACATGCTTCCTCAGACAGACACCCTTCCTCAGAACTGACAGACATTCTTCTTCAGGACTGACAGACGCCCTTCCTTGGAACAAACAGTCGCCCTTCCTCGAACAGACAGACACGCTTCCTTGGGACAGACAGACACTCTTCCTCAGGACTGACAAACGCTCTTCCTCAGGACAGACAGACAGTCTTCCTCAGGGAGGGCAGGACACCCCTTGCAGCCCCAGGAGAGCGGCCGTCTGTCCAGTTCCTCATGTGACAGTCTCTGAGCTTCTGGGGTCTTCTCCAAAGGCACAAACTAAAGCAGGTGGGGCACAGGGACGGGGTCGGGGTGAAGAGCTAGACTTGTCTCCTGAGGGACAGTCCCCGGAGGGAGACTCGCGTCGGCCCAGTGAAGGAGGGTTCTTTCCTTCCGCAAGGCCCTCTCAAGGCTGAGAGACGTGGACAAAGCCCCGTGGGCAGCTGTTTTGGTCGGTACTGGGGCAGCCGAGCCACGTGTGCGCGCATCACTGGGTTCTGTGGAGAGCCAGTGCCCGCCCGCCCTGTCGCCCCTGCCCCCCGGGTGGAGTCTGCCAGGAACACGCTAAAATTAGCATCCGTTCAGTTCTGAGAGACTCCGCTGTGCTTTAAAGAGCAGCCATGGGAGGCTCACTCCCCCTCAGCATGCGTCTCTCTCTGCAGGGCGGAGACCGAGCGGGGCCTGTCGAGGAAGCACATCATTGAAGGTGAGTTCCTCAGGCTGGGCAGAGCAGGGGCAGCGGGGGAAGGGACGGCGCATGTAAGTGGTAGAATCTTCTGGAACTCTTCCCACAGCTCTGATGAACCTGATTAGGGACTCCCAGATGACTTTTTTTTTTTTGCTTTTCGGGTCACACCTGGCAATGCTCAGGGGTTACTCCTGGCATTGCACTCAGGAATCACTCCTGGCAGTGCTCAGGGGACCATATGGGATGCTGGGAATCGAATCCGGGTTGGCTGCGTGCAAGGCAAACGCCCTACCCGCAGTGCTATCGCTCCAGCCCCTCCCAGATGACTTTTTATTTATTCTTATTTTTGAGGGTCACACCTGGAGATGCAAAGAGGTTACTTCTGGCTCTACACTCAGGAATTCCTCTTGGCGGTCTACTCAGGGGATCATACTGGACACTGGGGATTGAACCCAGGTCGGCCATGTGCAAAGCAAGCACCCTCCACACTGTACTATCTCTCCAGCCCCTCAGATGGCTTTTTTAAAAATAATTTCTAAGTTCTGATTCATGTGTTGGCAGGGGTCTGGGCCTTGCCCTGCAGTGGTCTCAGGGCCCTGTGTGGCACCATGGCCCGGGTCACCTGTGCTGCCTCTTGGGCCGTGAGAGCGTGTGGGGCGGGAGTGATCGCATACCACAAAGTGGCACCCAGTGCTGCTTCCGAGGATAAGTCCCGAGGTAGGAGATCGCCGCTACCATTCTGAGACCTTCTCAGCTCTGGAGAGAGAAGCCCAGGCCATAGCTCAGCACCACTCCCGGCTCCGTCTCCGACAGCTCACAGCAGCCTAGTATGTGGAGACACCTGCTGAGGGCGCCCTCCCTCCAGACCGGGCCCTGCGCAGCCTCAGCCCCCCTGTCCGACTCCTGTCGCCCCTCTGTGTCCAGCCATCCAGGGACAAGCGTCTGGCTCCTTCCCTGGTGACTGTTAGAATGTGGCGATGAGCTTGCGGGCCCAAACTTCCATGAGACCCAAATACCCTCCAAACTGCATGGGGAAGCCCCCTGGGAAAATGACCGTCATTGTGCTGGTGCTCCCCAGGGAGCACAAGACCTGGAACTGAGAGACAGTGGCTCAGGGTCCGACTGCCAAACCCGCTGAGGGGTTACGGCCCTCAGGGGTTCTGATTCCCGGACATCTCACGCCTTCTGCAAGGAAGGGCACAGGTGCCCTCTGAATTCTGGTGCTAGATTCTCCCTCAGGAATGATGTCTGGAAAGTTCCAGTCTTTAGAGTCACGACATCACCTGGACAGAAGACTTTCTCCTCGCCAAAGATATTTGCACCTGGGAACTAACAGCTGCCCAAAGTGGAGAACCAACTCAGCACATCGCTTTATAAACGGATGTGGGTGATGAGATCCCCTGTGCTCTGGAGACCTGGCGCATCCTTCCAGCTGGCCCCTGCGTCACTCCGACACCCGTCTGTCTGTGCACATGAAGCATGAGGTGACACGCTGAGCCAGGAGCCCGCAGCCCACAGTGGCCGCATTTGGCTGTTCCCTTTGAGGCCTTTTGCCATGCATTCCCAGACATGCCGGGCCTCACCTGTGATTTCCAGGCTTGAGTTTTATAAACAAGTGTACAGTGATTGTCCCTAGGCAAATGGCCTTGTAAAGTCCAGGAATAAAGTGTAGTTGAATGTGAAGGTATTTCTGTAAAAATAACCCAGCAATCTGGTGGGGATTTGCTTGCTGACGCATCTGCTAGTGGTTCATCTTTTCAGTCTTCTGCTGCTTTCTGGGGTCCAGACTTCCACCCTGGGAGACTCTTTCTGGGGTGTTTCTCTTGCTCATGTTAACTGCAGGCTCGTGATAGCTGTGGTGCTCCCTGTCTCTGTCACATGCCCCTTGTCTCACCCGGAATGTCTCTGAGACGTCGTGCCAAAGGTCTCGATATTCACCTCGTTTGGGAGTTGAGGTCTTGCACACCTAGGGAGACGGCAGCTTTGAAATCATTTTGCGGCCCACTGGGAAGTAGTTCCTGAATTCAGGCATCGGCTGCCAGATAGACTGTTTTGTTTGTTTCTTTGCTTGTATTTTTGGTAGATTCACACCAGGCGATGCCCAGGGCTTACTCCTGGCTCTGCCCTCAGGAATCACTCCTGATGGTGCTTGGGGGGCCTTGAGCCCAGATGAGCTGCTGGGACCAGAAAGGGACTGGAGCACAGGCTTCGCATATGCACAACCTGGGTTCAAGCCCCGGCCCCACATGGTCCCCTGAGCACTGAGCTGGGAGCCTGATGTGCTACCAAAGCAGACACAAACACACCGACCAGGCCGATGCTTTCCCAGCTCTCCAGGGAATAGTGAGAATGAGTTTGGGGATCTAAAGGTCTGGGCGTGAGCAGGACCCAGGTGAACGTCTTAAAAGTCAGTGTCTGGGCTGGAGACCAGGACGGGTCAATCTCCAGCCCTTCCGGAGTGACCTGTGAGCCCCACTGGGGACAGCAGGGAACAGCAGGGAATGGCAGGATGCAGCAGGGGGTGTCCTGAGTTCAGGTCAGCGAACACCAAGACTGGCCATCACTCATCCCAGCTGTGCCTCTGGGGTGCTTCTCCTCCCTCACACCCCACCGTGCTGAGAGCCCCTGACACGTCTATGGCAGGAGGTGACTGCTCTTGCATTTTGCAGGGAGCCAGAAGCCAGATTCTTGGGCTCTTTTCTTTCCACCCGGTGCCACCACTTGCCTCTGACTCTGGTTCGAATCCCAGGTGCCACACATGTTCTCTGAGCACCGCCAAGGCCACTCTGGGACACAGAGCCAGGAGTAGCCCCTGGACGCTGCCAGTGTACCCCCTTTTAGAGAAGAAAGGTTTACGGTCGGAGGATGGCTGGAGAGATGAGGCAGCCAGTCTCTGCTCCTCTCAAGGGCCGCGTCCTGCTTCCTGTAGGGCTTGTCCCTGGAGGCTGTGTGACTCAGGCCCGGGCCTCGTTGGAAACGGTGCTGACTGTCTCAGTGCCTGGACCCTGGGCTGGCAGGTGCCCTGTGGGGTTGTGGTCAGGGAGGGGGCATCAGAGTGGCCCGTGCCACACGCTGCTCACGACTCTGTCCACCCACAGGGTTGAAGGGCTCCCTGCACCGGCTGCAGCTCGAGTACGTGGATGTGGTGTTTGCAAACCGGCCCGACAGCAACACGCCCATGGAAGGTGAGTGCGGCCTGGCCCGACCTGGCCGCTTCTGCCCACACGCTAGAGCTAACTTTGCCAAGGCCTGGGGCCTCGGATTCCACCCCCTGCATCGACGGTGCTGACATGAAGGGGGGATTCCAACCTGAGCCTCCCTCAGGGGTGGGGAGCGTCCTTTTCAGTTATGAGTCCATGTCTTGCGAGTTTGCCATGTGGGGACAGGGCTCACGGGTGCCCCCACTTCCCATTCAGACTGTGGTGCCCCCTGTGATCTGCGACCCATCAGGAGTGACCCCTGAGCACCACCGTGTGCGGCCCAGAAACAAAGGGACAGAACGTGATAGACCCTGCCCGGGCGCAGAGCAGCTGCTGTTGGGTCAAAGGAGACGCACTTCCTGAGTCCCAGTGAACCCCCATTTCCCGAGTCCCGTAGAACCTACATCTCCTGAGCTCTGCAGAACCCACGTCTCCTGAGCCTCGTGGAACCCACAGGGCCGTTCTCTTGAGTCCCACGGAATCCACAGTGCTGTTCTTCCCAAGTTTTTATGGAGACTTTAGGGTTTTCAATGTATAGTATCATCTTTTCTGCAAATAGTAATAGTTTAACTTGTTCTTCCATGATTTGGATCTCTTTGCTGTCTCTTTTCTTGTCTGATTGCTGTGGCAAGGACTTCCAAAACGATGCTGAATAATGGTGGCCAAGGTGAACATTCTGCCTCTGACCTGATCCCAGGGGAAGGAAGGGCTTCCGGTTCCACCAGTGAGTGGGTTTGCTGTATTTGGCTATTAGTAGTTGAGGTGTATGACATTTATCCCTATTTTTGGAGGGTTCTGATGATGAGTTGATGTTGGATCTTGTCAGATGCCTTTTCTGCATCAATTGACATAATCCTATGGCCTTTATCTTTCCTTTTGTCGGTGGGGTGTATTTCATGAGCTGAGTTTTGTATCCTGAACCAGCATTGCATCCCTGGGATGAACCCCACTTGATCATGGTGTATAACCCTTTAGATATGTTTCTGGATTGATTCCATCTGCTAGAATTTTGCTGAGGAGTTTTACATCAATAGTAATCTGGGATATTGGTCTGTGGTTTCCTTTTTCAGTCGCGTCTCTTTTCTTGGCCTTAGGGCCTAGAGGTTTCACAGATGCTATTAAGAAGGATTCCTGTCTCCTCGATACTTTGGAAGAGATTGAAGAATATGGGCACTTCTTGAAGTTTTGTTGGAACTCACTACTGACCCACCTGGACCTGGGCCTTTTTCCTTGGGGAGATTTTTTAAATGACTATTTTAGTGTCCCAGTGATTGGTCTGTTTCGGTTTCCTATTTCCTCTTGGTTCGATTTTGAGAGTTTGCACGGTTCTAGAATCCACCCATTTCTTTCAGGTTCTTGGCTCAGTGGCATGCATTTGTTTGTAGCAACCTCCTCTGAACTCTTGTGTTTCTGAGGTGTCTGCTGTAATTCCCCCCCCGGCATCTTTGATCATGTTCATTTGGGTTTTCTCTCTTTTTCTCCATTTATCTAGCTAAAGGCTGATCAGTCTTGTTTATTCTTTTTTTTTTAAAATTTTTATTAGTGAAACACCATGAGGTACAGTTGTAGACGTACAAATTTTTGTGCTTGGGTTTCAGTTATACAATGATTGAGTACCCCTCCCTCCACCAGTGCCCATTCTCCACCCCCACTAGTCCCAGTATCCCTCCCACCCCCCATCTTGTTTATTCTTTCAAGAGCCACACCCTGGTTTTACTGACCCTTTGTATTGTTTTCTTATATTCTGCATCATTGATTCCAGTTGTAATTTTTATTATTTCCTGCCTTCTACTTTGAGATTCATTTGTTGTTCTATTCCTAGTATTCTTTTAGATGAGAGTTTAGGTTGTGATTTAATCTTTTTCTTTATCCAGGTTTGACCTTGAAGAACTATGAATTTTCCCCTTAGTCCTATGAACTTTCCCCTTAGTACTTTAAGCCTTCTTAGTAATTTGAACTTTCCCCTTCATCCTATGAACTTTTTTTTTTCTTTTTGGGTCACACCCAGCGATGCACAGGAGTTACTCCTGGTTCATGCACTCAGGAATTACTCCTGGCGGTGCTCGGGGGACCCTATGGGTTGCTGGGAATCGAACCTAGGTCGGCTGTGTGCAAGGCAGACGCCCTACCCGCTGTGTTATTGCTCCAGCCCAGTGCTATGAACTTTGACCCTTAGCACTTTCCCCATAGGTTGTAGCAGTATGTTTCTTCATTTTTGTTTGATTTGAGGAATTTCTTGGTTTCTTCTTTGACCCCATTGTTGTTTATCAGTATGTTGTTTAGTTACCAGGTAGTTCATCCTTTTTAATGATTTCTCTTTATGATTGGTTTCTATATTTGTGACTTTGTTTTTTGGGCTGGAGCGATAGCACAGTGGTAGGGCATGTGGCCAACCTGGCCAACTTGAGTTTGATTCCTCCACCCCTCTCAGAGAGCCCGGCAAGCTACGGAGAGTATCTCGCCCGCTTGGCAAAGCCTGGCAAGCTACCCGTGACTAGCGTATTCAGTATGCCAATCACAGTAACAACAAGTCTCACAATGGAGACGTTACTGGGCCTGCTTGAGCAAATCGATGAACAACAGGAGGATAGTCTTAGTGCTAGTTTTCTGAGCAGACACTTGGTATAATTTCATTTTGTGGTTCTGTGGGATGTTTGAGTTGTATCCAGCATGTGACTTGTCCTGAAAAATGTCCCCTATGCAGTACAGAAGAACGTGTATTGGGTTTTTGGTGGTTGAAGGGTCCTGAATATGTCTGCGACGGCCTGTTTGCCCAGCCCCCGTTACTGACATTACATCTCGCTTATCTGCCGGGAGACAAGAGTGAGGAGCTGAGTGTGACCGTCTGCGCAGATACTCAGGTTGCTGCTATAGCTGCTGGGTGGGCTTCGCTGCCCTTCATGTGTGTGTGTGGCTGCTCATGGGGGCTACACCTTTCTGATCCTGATGGCTCCTTTAGCCAGCGTGTGGCGTTCCTGCCTGTCTCCGGTTGTCTTCATTGTCCGTACGCTGCCTGTCACCAGCGTGAGTGTCCCCGCGTCTGTCTATAGCCAGTGTGACTGTCCCCATGTCTGTCTGTAGCCAGTGTGACTGTCCCCGCATCTGGCTGTATCCAGTGTGGCTGTCCCCGCGTTCGTCTGCCTGTCACCAATGTGGCTGTCCCCATGTCTATCTGCAGCCAGGATGGCTGTCCCACGTCTGTCTGCCTGTAGCCAGTGTGGCTGTCCCTGCATCTGTCACTGTGGCCATTGCCGCCTCTGTAGCCAGTATGGCTGTTGTTCTGTCCCCGAGGACTGTGCAGCTCCTTCCAGACCTCGCCCAGCCTGTGTGTTTCACGCGAGTCTGAGTGTGTCTCCTGGAAGCCGCAGAAGCCCTTTCTTGGTCCACCCGGTTGTTCTGCACTGCTTTATGGGAACGTTCAGAGGAATCCCTGACATGGGGCATTTGTCACCGTGTCCACCTGGGCGGCTCCCTTTGTGAGTGTGACTAAGCACCTGATTCAAACCCCCAGGATCTGCTCTCTAACACACGCCCAACAGTTCTGACTTAAATGGATTAAGATGCCAGCCCCGTGGGTCTGATTTGCGCCCTGAAGGGCTCTTAGCTGGGAACTTAAAGTAAGACAGGGAGCGTCGCTCCCAGCCGAGCCAGAAAAAGCCTTGGTCCCCTCTTCCCAGCAGTAGGCCTCTGGATCCAATTAGCGGTCCCGCCTGTCCGCTGCTCCCGGTGCTGCTGGAGCAGCAGGCGGCCGCGTCTGCTTTTGCTGCTGAGGGAGCGTCCAGCCCGAGGGTGCTGGCAGTGTTCCCGCGTGTCCCTCTCCCTGGGCTCACCTACCATGGGCCTCTCCTCCCTCGGAGCACCTGCCAGGCCATCTGGCCCTGCCACTGCCCTGGCTCCAGAGAACACCCGTGCTGATGCCTGTCTCTTCTCCCGGGAAGCTGTTTTCCTCCCTAAAGTGGCTGACGGTCCCTCCTGCCAGCCTCCACCCCCCTCCCCGGAACCCCGACTCGTGCTCCCTGGAGCCCGTCTGACGTGAGAAGGTTGGTTCCCGCGTGAGTCAGGCGGCTGGTCGTGGGCCCGAGCCTGGCACTCCGAACTGCGTGGGTCTGGGGAGCCGCCAGCTCTAGGTGCCAGGCTGGTTCCTGAGTCTGCGGCTCCCACCCACGGCTCTGGGGAGGTGGGGCTGGCTCAGGACCCCCACGCGGAGAGGACAGGAGGGGGAGAGCAGTCCTCGGAGCCCCCACAGCTTTTATAATTCGGGGGAAGAAAGACCACTGTCTGTTGATCTGAAACGTTTCAAGTCAATTTTCAGGACACTTGGTTTGAAAGACGCTTGCAACAGAACTCCCTCTCTGCCTGTGTGCAGTGTTTTGCCACAGCCAGTAAATCTCAAAGAATCCCTGAGTCATTAAATATTTATTCCCAACTTAATTGGCGCTTAAGTGAATTATGTCCCCCTGCTAGATGGTCAGTGCTGACATCAAACAAATCAGATGTTTTCATGCCAAGTAAGAGGCCTTGATCAAAGTGAATCTTGCTTTACCCAGAGCATCGTCACGGCACGCAACTTGTTCATCTAGTTCTTTGACGCCTTTGTCTTGGTCACTGGATTTGAGCGGGCACATGGGAATGTTTAAGGATCCCGAAGAAAGGCAATATTGCAGCAGCCCAAATTTTCTTGTTTCCAGAGCACTGGGCACATTGAAGATGCTCAATGAGTATTTATTGGATAGATGAGTTGGTGGTGAGATAACGGATGGATGAAAAGTGGGTGGATGGATGGACGGGTGGATGGACGGATGGAGGGTGGGTGGATGGATGGAGGGTGGATGGACGGATGGAGGGTGGGTGGATGAATGGAGGATGGATGGACGGATGGAGGGTGGGTGGATGAATGGAGGATGGATGGATGGATGGATGGAGGGTGGGTGGATGGATGGGCAGGCAGATGGACGGATGGCAGGTGGGCATGTGGATGGTCGATGACCGTGTGGGTGGATGATGGAAACTGGACAGAGGGGTCAGCGCATCGAGGAGTGAACAAGTATGTGTGACTGAATGAAGGGAACCATAGCGTTAAAAGTTCATTGTAAAGTTCATTTTTCCCCCATGGACTTGGAAGCAAAATTTCTTTTCCTTACATCCGCTGACACTTGGCCTCTCTTTGGCTCAACATATCTCAGCACGGAACTAGGAGCAGGCCACAGGCAAGCAGGCGGCCTGAGGCACCACCCCTAGTACCTTCTGTGCCCTGAGTGTTCCTCCTGAGGATAGGGACTGTCTGAAGCTTCTGTCTGAGTCTGGCTGGGACCCCCCCCCCCCCCCGCCCCAGCTCTCATCCGTTAGATTCCTTGACCCTCACTTGAAGGCCCGGCACAGCTGAGTTTCAACCCATTCATCTGGAAAAAAGTATTTTTCCATCTCTGACGATGAACCAATTGTTACCCTATCTGGGGGGTGGGGTGATGGCACCCAACCTGACAGCCTGAATTTTATTTTATTTTTTTTGCTTTTTGGGTCACACCCGGCGATGCACAGGGGTTACTCCTGGCTCTGCACTTGGGAGTCACTCCTGGTGGTGCTCAGGGGACCATATGGGATGCTGGGAACTGAACCTGGGTCAGCTGCATGCAAGGCAAACGCCCTACCGGCTGTGCTATCACTCCAGTCCCAGCCTGAATTTTATTGAAACTGTGAACTTGCAGATGTTCCCTGCTCCTCGAAGCCTCCGAAATCAACAGGCTGCTGGCTCTGAACAGACGAGGCTGGGCTGGGCTGCAGCTGACCAGGGGCTGGGCAGGGCCCGAGTGCCCCGAGCCCACTCTGCCCGCGGTGCCCTCGGGGACTTGAGCAGCACTCCCTCAGGGTGACTTGGAGCTATCTCTGTTGCTCGGCTCGCAGTGCTCCGTGCCCCTGGTGCCTAGGCTGCTTGGAGAGGGGCACCCTGGAGGGAACAGTGCTGAGAGCCCCCGGGGTTCAGGCGGAACGGGACATGCCCCAGCCACCCTGGCCCACCCAGCCCTCTGCAGGGGACAGGACATGCTTCCGTTGTGAGTGTGGGCGGCTGGCTCATACCCTGGAACAGCATCTGGGTCTGGGCAAGAGCTGGGGGCACCTGTGTCCCGCGGCTACTCTGATTCCTGCTGCAGTGAATGGGGCCCCCCTCCCCCGCACCCGCGCCAGCACTGGCTGTTCTTGTTCTCCCGGAAGTGTGCCAGCCTCTGTGGTGTGAGAGGACACCTCATTGTTGTTCGGATTTGCATCTCCCTGACGTGAGTGAGTGGGTAGAGCACTTTCTCACAAGCTTCTGGCCATAGTAGTTTTCCTTTGAGGAGTTTCTTTTCATGCCCCCTCCCCATTTTTTGATGGGGTTGGGTGTTGGTCTTTTCTGGTAAAGCCCCCCGCCCTCCCCCTCCACCCCCCACCCTACCCACCCCCACTCCCCCTTCCTGCCACACCCACAGGCTCCCTCAGCAGCTTGTATAGCAGTACTGCCCTCTGGTGTCCTGGCCAGGTAGTGCCCACCTGTGCCCTAGTTAGACCCGGCCAGTTCCTGAGATGTCAAATCTTCAAACGTCCCCTGCCCTGAGACAGGGGTCAAGCCTTTGACCGGATGCATCAGCCACATTGCCGGCATGTGGAGGGGCCATGCCAGCATCCCTGGAAAAACGTCCATGGGCCTGGACAGCTGAAAACCGGGGGCTGGGGTGTCTCAGCTTGCAGCGTCCACACACGAGGCTGTCCAGGCCCGAGTCACCCCCATGCCTGGGAGGAAGCAGTCCCCACCCTCTGCCCCAGGGTCACTTCCGCTTAGGAGCCGAGTGGACCACAGACCACTCACCCTTCTGTTCGGCTCTCGGGGGTGGCCACGCCGTGTCCCACCCCAGACCAGCTGAGTGGCAGGCTCAGGCTGTCCTGGGTCGCTGCGTCCTTGGACAAGGCTCTGTGTAAGGTTCTGGGGTGCTGTTGTGGCCAAAGAAAAGGAATCCAGGGAGGGAGAGCCGGGGGGGGGGTCCGAGCACCAGAGGTCACTGAGTTTGGTGACTGCCCACTAGAGCTGGACGCAGCTCATCCTAGCTACCTGGTGCTTCTGGTTGGACCCGGCTGGCCTCCAGGCTTGGCAGCTCAGGGGACAGCAGCTGGATGGTCGGTCAGTGGGCGAGGGGCTCAGCACACGCCCTTTGTTCCGCAGAGATCGTCCGGGCCATGACGCATGTCATCAACCAGGGCATGGCCATGTACTGGGGTACCTCCCGCTGGAGCGGCATGGAGATCATGGTAAGGCGAGCGGCCGTCACACGTGTCCCTGCAGGCACCCCAGACTTTCCCTCCTCACCCCGCCCGGCAGCCAGCACAGGGAGGCCCGGGAACCCCCACCTGGCCGAGAACGGGGTTGGAGCACCTGCCTGTCACCGGGGGCGGCCCCCAGATGGGCCAAACCGAAGCACAATGATGGTGTCCCCTGTCGCAGGGTTGGCTGCACACTCCCACCTCAGAGGCACTGCTGGGCTGCCCCCCGCGGCCACCCCTGAACCCCAATCCCAGGGCTGAGTAGGTGCTAGCCACGGGTCACCTGGCTGTGTTCCCCCCCTGCATGGGACCCTTAGGTACATAAGAGGCTGGGACTCGCCCTGGGGCTTCACCCAGGCCCACCAGAGGCTCCCGGCCTCCCTGCCAGTAACACGTGTCTGTCCCGGCTCCTCACGCTGTCCCGCTGACCTTCCCTGCAGGAGGCGTACTCGGTGGCGAGGCAGTTCAACCTGATCCCGCCGGTATGCGAGCAGGCGGAGTACCACCTGTTCCAGAGGGAGAAGGTGGAAGTGCAGCTGCCGGAGCTCTACCACAAGATAGGTGGGGGCCGCCCCGGGGGTGGGGGCACAGGGAGCTCGCCTCGGCCGCGGGGCCCAGCGGCAGGAGACCGAGACTCGGGTCCCAGCCAGCGCCAACCAGTCACCCGACACGCCCCACACAGCAGCAAGGGCCCCGGGGAACCAAGGGGAACGGAGGGGAAACGAGAAGAAAATATTAGTAAGGATGCATTTTCCTCGGGGACTGCACCCGGCAGCGCTCAGGGCTGAACCCCGGCTATGCTCAGGGATCACTCCTAGTAGGGCTTGGGGGCCTATGCGGTGCCAAGGACAGAGCCCGGTCACTGCATGCAGGGAAGTGCCCACACTGCTGCACTGCCCCAAACCGTAAGGAAGACATGCCCATCCTGGGCCTGGGATGAGGAAATTAGGAACAAGCAGGTCCCTGTGCAGGGACGGCCAGGGGACCGGTCACTGTGCGCAGGACGGCCACGAGTACAGGTCACTGTGCGTGGGGACACCCAGGGGGACACTGGCTGCAGACGCAGGTGTGGTCACCAACAGTTTCTGGAGAGATGTCTGGGGCCCTGGTGAGTGGCAGGAACTGTGGTGATGGCTGGCCTGGCATGGAGGCGGCAGGCGGAGTCTGGGGTGCGGCATGGAATCCAGCCACAGTCCTCCGTGTGCTGGCTTGTCACGCTGCCACCAGGCCGTGTTCCCCGCCTGTGGCGCCCCCTGCTGGCCGCAGGAGCACCTGACTCCTGTGCTCTCTCCGCAGGTGTAGGAGCCATGACCTGGTCCCCATTGGCCTGCGGCATCATCTCAGGGAAATACGGCAACGGGGTGCCGGAAAGCTCCAGGGCGTCCCTCAAGGTACCTCCTCCCGCTTGGGCAGTGATGTGGGGACCCCCAGTGCCCCTCTACAACCTCTGCTCCTTCTGTGGGGGGGGGGCAGCCTGGAACCAACCTTGCTGACACCCTGAGTCCGAGCTCTGTGCCAGGCTGTGTGCTCTGGGGTGTGCAGGGACCCAGCAAGCACGGCAGTGACAGAGGCAAGGGAGGGACAGGCTGGTCTGTAACACTTGGCACCAGGCATTGCTGTCCTGAGCAGCCTGCTAAGGTGCCGCCTGAGTCCACAGGGAACCCCACAGTCAGTGGCCAGTTTCTGGGTCATGACCCCGTGTCTGACTCGTTCCCTGTAGCTTCCCTCCCTGCACACTCAGTGAAGCAGCTGAGATGCAGCATCTTCCCACAACGGCACGTTGGCCTCGGGGATCGGAGAAACAGGCCGGCTCCCGGGCCAGCTGTGGGTGGGACGCGCCCACGGGAGGGTCTGGGGCACAGAGTCAGCCTCTCACTGGGTGGTCACCATGCACACATGCACGTGTGACCCACACGTTCCCAGTGCTAAGGGCAGATGCGCCTGGTGGGAAATGTGACTCCATAGACCAGCCACGCGCAGTGGCGGGTGCAGACCAAGTTTGAGCACCAGCAGACGGTCCTCCCAGCACTGTGCAGGTGGCCCTGGTGCTCCCCAAGGACCCCTGAGCCTTTCAAGGGGGTCAGCTCTCCAAGCACCACTGGGGGTCCCCTAACGACCCCCAAATCCATGCACAGAAGCGGCGGCTTTCCCCGTGAAGGACCCTGGGTCCCACCAACGTGCCGGCTGAGCAGGCAGCTTGCTAGCCAACCTACCGGCCGCCCGTGGCCTTGTCCCTCAGCTAAGCACTGCAGAGCCACACCTGGGGGCTCACACATGCACACTGATGCACACACATAGACACATACACGCACACACAGACACTCTGTGCACGGAGCGGCAGGCACACGGGTGATGGTCTCCCAGAGCTCAGGTACGGGTCCCAGCTGGGAGGAGAGAGGCACCCAGAGGGGTTGAGTCTCGGTTCCAGCTGGGGTGTGTGGGAGAGGTGACCGCAGAGCACCAGGTGGCTGGCCCACGCGGTGGGGGACACGGGCCGCGTCCCAGGCGTGCTCTCTCCGCAGTGCTACCAGTGGCTGAAGGAGCGCATCGTGAGCGAGGAGGGCAGGAAGCAGCAGAGCAAGCTCCAGGAGCTCGCCCCCATCGCTGAGCGGCTGGGCTGCACCCTGCCCCAGCTGGCCGTGGGTGAGTGCCTCCCAGCACCAGGAGCCCCTGGGCACCGGCCAGCTGCCTGGTCCTCAGAGTGGCCATGGACTACAAGCAGACAACGTGCAGACGCTGAACTATGGTGGGGGGGCTGGGTTGGGGGCTCCATGGGGGTGTGGGGCCCACCGAGAGCCCCCACATCTCAGCCTTGGGCGGCGGGCTGCTAAGCGGGAGGGCAGGCCCTGAGCCCCCCGGGCGCTGCTAGTGAGGGGCGCAGGGAGCTGTGGGGCAGACCCCTGCCAGGCCTGACACCTCCCACCCCCCCAGCCTGGTGCCTGCGGAACGAAGGTGTGAGCTCCGTGCTCCTGGGCGCGTCCAGCCCGGAACAGCTGGTGGAGAACCTGGGCGCCATCCAGGCGAGTACCACCCTGTCCCCAGCCCCATCCGCGTTCCTGCTGGGCTCAGAGAGGGAAAGGGAGGCCCCCCAGTCCCCGCCCGGCCCGCCCAGACGGTCCCTGCCGCCCGCCCGCTGCAGGTGCTGCCCAAGATGAGCTCGCAGGTGGTGGCCGAGATGGACGGCGTCCTGCGGAACAAGCCCTACGGCAGGAAGGACTACCGCTCCTAGCTCGAGCCATGCGCACCCTTCCTGCTTTGCTGTCCCCGGCCGGGCACCCCAGCCCCAGGCACCTTCTAAGCAGCCGGATGGCCGGAGCTGCCAGGGTTACCCAGCGGGCCGGAGGCTGCAATAGGGACTTCCCGCTTCGTCTACTCTCCCCCGCCCCCGGGGGCTCGACCCTGCAGGTGACGTTTGTAGGCGACCAGGAGGCCGCAGGGCGTTTGCTTCTTTCTGGCCATGCAGCTCTGCCCAGGCCAGCACTACGGTTTCCCCGCGGGCCAAGGACTCAGCCCCATCCCTCCCGAGTGCCGTGGGCAGTTCTGTGCACGCACTGGAGCTTCTAGGCCACAGCCCCTGCGGCTCTGTAGAGCCCACCTGCATGTGAGCCCATCTCGGCCTCCACACAGTGGGCGGCCTCTCCAGTCCACCCGGGACTGGGAGGCTGAAGGGAAGAAACTCCTGGGCTGTGTGCAGAAGGGGTAGACTGGAGCCCGAGGAAACCCTGATTCTAGACTCATGAAGCCGGGCTCTCCAGAGGGCCAGCCAGCGCCTACCCACACACCATCACACCCCGCTTCCTGCCATCGTGCCCGACGTGCGTCTTGCAGCTTACTTTCCTCCGAGACCGCCTTGGTTGACCTGAGTGGGCCGATGCTCACTCTCCAGTGCTTTCTTATGCTCCCCTGCTCCGCCAACTGGCCTGACCGGGCAGAGGGAACTGTATGTGGCTTAACCTGCTTCAATAAAAGCGTTTTGTGCATTTCCTCTGAGACCCGTCTTCCTCGTCTCTGTGGGGAGGTGGCATGCGCGACCAGGCTCACCGCTGCACAACCGCCCTTCTCTTCCTCACCAGCCCTGGACACGTGCCCAGGGCAAAGGTGCAGCCCTGGGGCTGAGACCAGCAGGGCCTCGTGCTGTCCCCATGGCTGACCTGGGCTCTAACCCTGGGCCCCAGCCATCCCCAGAACCTCCCCTAGCCAGAGCCCTGAGCATTGCGGTACAGTCCCCGGACAGGGCAGAATCTCCCATGAGTCCAGACCAGGCACACCACCAGCTGTGCTCTGCGAGCCCATGGCCAAGGCAAATGTCCGTCAGCCTTTCCTGTCGGGAGAACGTTTCCACGCGCCCTCCCAGGGGGAGGCAGGAATGGCGTCGACTCAACAGCATCCAGGCCGGAGGGGCACGGCCCTGTGGCCCAGAGCTGCAGTTCCAGGCCCTGGGCAGGGGGTGGGAGTGATCGGAGGTGGCAGGACCCTGTGCCCGGGCTCCAGGTCTCAGCTTGGGGGGTCCGGGATAAGGCCAGGATGCAGTGGGACCACCAACGGGTCCCTGCACTCCCCCTAAAAATCTGAGTGCCCCCCCCCCCCAGATCCTCCAGCTCCGGGGCCAGCCCTAAGGAAAGCCATAGGGCAGCTCTCCCAGCGGGGCCCGTGGGGGGGGGCCAGACGCATCCCCCCCCCCCCCAGATGGCACCAGCTCTCCGGAGCCTCGGAGCCCACCCTCAGCCCCGCTTCCTTGTCGGCGCAGATGACAGATGCTGCTGTCCCAGGGCCTCAGCTCAGCTCAGGGCCAGGAGGGGCCTGTGGTGGCAGCTGTGCCCACCCTGAAACCAAGGGTTGCCCAGACGCCAGAAGGCCCACAGCAGCAAAGGCACAGGCCAAGCCTGCTTCTAGGCACTGCCCGGCCAGCTCCAGCAGGCGCTTGCATGGACGACCCTCTCCCGGCAGCCTCCATGACGCAGCTGGCTTCAACCTGCAGACAGCAGGCCCAGCTGGGCAGCCAGGCCGCAGGTTGGGGGTGCGGGTGGGGGGCAGACTGCTGGACGCCCCCACAGACAACTCCCACAGCCGGGCACCATTTCCAGGACCCCATGACGTTCCCAGTTGCCCAGACCAGGAACCCAACCATGTCCCTGCCCCGTGCGTGCTGGCTACTGTCCAGGTGCCCACGGGGGAGGATGCGCTGTGACCGGGCAGGACGTGGCTCCATGCTAGGCCCAACCCTTCCCACCGGCTCCGCGGACAAAGAGGGCCACATGTTTGGGGGTTCCAACACCTTCTATTATCTCCCAACCAGAAAGATGGGCGTCCCTGCCCCCTCGGCCCCCCGAGCTGCATGGCTACTTGGAGCCCGTGGACAGGAGGGCGATGAGGCCCGAGGCCGTGCTGATGGACAGGATGTAGTTGCTACAGGAACTCGGGTCAAGGAAAAGGCGGCCAGGCCTGCGACTCACCCCACACAGAAGGGCGCATGGGCTGCTACCCCCCCCCCCTCAGCGAGCACGAGGACCACCGGGCAGGGGGCAGAATATGCCCCCCACCGCCTCTCTTCCCGGTGTGCTCCCAGCAGCGGGGCCAGATGAGCACTGGCCAGGAGGGCCCACTGGGCAAAGACTCTCCCGAGGCCCTGGGGCACCCCTGGACGCAGGGTCGATCACCCGAGACTCAGGTCAGTGCGCCTGGCCTACCGGGCACGAAGATGAGCAGGAACTGCACCTCTGTGCCCGGGGAAGATGCAGAACAGAGCTGCGAAGGATACACGGTGGGGTTGAAGTTCTTCAGGACGAAGAAGGAAGCCACGAGCAGCAGCACCAGGAAGAGGGTGTTGTTGTAGAAGATGGAGAAGGTGGTGGCCTCGTAGTCTGCCACCTCGTTCTTCTTCCACAGGATCCTGCGGACACAGGCCCACATGTGACCCCAGCCCAGGGGACGTGGCGTCTCTGCCACCAGTGCAGCCCGCCCAAGAACATTCCAGCAGGTTCCACACCCTGCCACTCTCACCCCCATCCAAGTCGGGTTCCAGGCTCCCTTCAGCGACCTCAGCCTGGCAGCCTCGGGGCCCCCGCCCCGCCCAGGAGCCCCCTCGCCCCTCGGCGACGCACGCAGCACCAGCACAGACCCAGGGGTGGGTCTGTGGCAGGTCTAGACCCTGGCCAAGGACCAAGAACCAGGGGATCTCACGAGAGCTGTGCCCCCTCGCCCACCAGAGACGCTGCCCCCGCTGACCAGAGCTTCACCCTGGCTCCCCCGAGGCCGGTGTGTGGCGGACACAGGCCTGCACTCATTGTCTTGGGGGTCCTGGAGGGCTCGGTACCGAGGCCGTGTCCTCAGTCTCGGTGCCTCTGGCTGCCATCCCGCAAGCCCAGGGCAGCCCAGACACCCAGCACCCAGCAGGCCTGGCCCCTCACCCACAGCAGCCTGGTCCGGGCAGGCCCAGCTCAGGCAAGGCAGGGCAGGGCAGGCCAAAAGGGGGCAGAGCGGAGCGGGCCTCACCTCTCGTCCTTCTCCTTCCGAGACATCTTCCTGTTATCGGCTTCCGAGAGCTTGCGTGTCACTTCTCGGGAAACCGCATCCTCGCGCTTCTGCGCCACTCTGGGGACAAGCGGGACGGTCAGCGTGGGCGCTGACTCCCCGAGCCAGCACAGCCCCCCGATACGCCGCCCCGCGTTTCGGGGAGACAAGCGGGTCAGGAGTCCTGCGGCTGTGGGGGAGAGTTGTGAGGGCAGCTGTAACCACAGCAGGATCTTTGTGTTCTGTCTGGGAGCCACACCCGGCAGTGCTCAGAGGCTACTCCTGGCTCTGTGCTCAGGAGCAAGCCCTCAGCAACGCCCTGGGAGCCCATGTGCTGCCAGAATCTGAACCCGGGTCGGTGGGATCTGGGCAAGGACATCAGCCCTGGACTCGGTCTCCAGGGGAAACTGTGTAAACTGGAAGCACCAGCCACTGCCTAAAACGAGGAAGAGTTGACAGCTGCGCCTGCCAGTCTGAGAAAGAATCGAATCGACGCTGATGGAACACAGAAGCCCCCAGAGATGATATCCCTTAACACAGGGAAATTGACCAGCCGTCGGCAGACCAGGGGTCCCAACACACAAGTTCACTCTGACGGGCCTACGGGAACCGCTCGCCCCCCGCAGCACACAGCCCAGTCCCGCAGGCTGTCCAGCCTGAGCCCAGTCTCCTGCTCACCCCGTGGGAAGGCTGCGTCTCGGAGAACGAGCACTCCTCCCACACCCTCGAGCCGACTACCCCCACTGTCCCAGTTCCCACAGCCCTGGCCCCCGGGTCCCCCCTCAGGACCCGGAGCACTCACCTGCCGAGGTCACTCACATGCACTGACAGGGCGGATGGGGCCCAAGAGGCTTCTCATGCAGAAGCGCGGAAGTCTGGGTCCCATCCCCACCACCCCGTAGTCCCCTGAGCATCCCGGGGGGGAGTGACCCCCCCCCCCCCCGATCCAGGCATGCGTCAAAAACCCATGCACCAAAGACTCAAGGCAGAAGCATCTACTGACTTGACAACAGCAAGGGCCTTCAGCACCTGCACACGCTCTTGGGAACGAGTAAGAACCACGAAAGCGCTGCTTAGTGTGAAAGCAGGGGGCCGGAGTGACAGCAGAGGGGGTAGGGCGTTTGCCTTGCATGCGGCCGACCCGGGTTCGATTCCTCCACCCCTCTCGGAGAGCCCGGCAAGCTACCCAGAGTATCCCACCCACACGGCAAAGCCTGGCAAGCTCCACGTGGTGTATTCGAGATGCCAAAAACCGTAACAAGTCTCACAACGTAGATGTTACTGGTGCCTGCTCGAGCAAACCGATCAACAACGGGAGAACAGCAGGACAGTGCTACTGTGGAAGCAGCAGCGTCACATCCCACAAGGGTCTGAGGGTTAGGACTCTGAGTTGCACGGCAGAGCCCTGCCAGCTGTGACCCCGGAAACCCGCCAAACATGGTCCAGGGGTTCGAACATGGGCTCGGCACAGATGTGCTGGAGCATGGGAAGCATGAGATGCGCAGGACCCCCTGGCGGGACACCTGCCTGGCATACCCAGGACCCCAGGTCACAGCCCACCTGGGACCCGTCTCTTGAGAGGCCTTGTGGAGGGCACCACGAGGAGCGGAATGGGAGACAGAACGACAGAGAGGTGCGTCCTGTTCGGAGCCACTGCTGGAAGCAAGGCCAGGACCACCTGCATGCCTGGGGTCACAGGGGCGGCGGGAGAGCCAGGGGGCCGGGCACAGGGCGGGCTGGGGGCCCCCCCCAGGCTGGAGGGCGCGTGTCTGGGACTCACTTGTGCTTGAGCACGAACTTGACGTTCTTGTAGGCGAAGGCCACCAGGTAGGTGCTGACGAGGGTCATGACGCTGTAGAGGATGGCCGACTGCAGGAGGTCCATGTGCCAGATGCGCCAGTACAGCCCTGCGGGGGCGCGGTCAGGCTCACGGGTGGGACAGGGACCCTCGCCCCGACCCCGCCCGGAACCCTGACCCCGACCCTGGACCCCGATCCTGACCCCCGGCCCCGACCCCGATCGCGACCCGGGCCCCCGACCCCGCCCCGGAACCCCGCCCCCGCCCCCGCCCCTGGACCCAGATCCCGACCCCCGGCCCCGACCCCGATCGCGACCCGGAACCCCGACCCGGGCCCCCGACCCGGAACCCCGACCCTGGACCCCGATCCCGACCGCCGCCCCGACCCCGACCCGGAACCCCGATCCCGACCCCCGGCCCCGACCCCGATCGCGACCCGGAACCCCGACCCGGAACCCCGACCCCGGACCCCGACCCCGGCCCCCGGCCCCGACCCCGATCGCGAGCCGGGCCCCCGACCCCGGTTCCGACCCCCGGCCCCTGCCCGCCACCGCCCGCGCCCGCCCCGCGCTCACAGATGGGGATGGCCGACACGATGAAGGCGTTCCCGAAGAAGAGCGCCGAGGACTTGGCCGACAGGTTGCGGCTGAAGTCCTGGAGGAGCAGGTCCTCCTCCGACTGCTGCCGGGGGCTTCGGGGCGCCATGGCTGCCTCGAGCTCGGGGCCGCGGCCGACGGCGTCACGGCCGCGCGCGCCCGCGCCCCGGATTGGCCGGCCCGCGGCGGCTGCGCGCGGCTCCGCGCGGGATTGGCCGGCGCCCCGCACTTCCGGGCCCCGACCCGCCCCCGACACGTCGGCTTCCGGCAGGGACGGGGGCCGCGGGGCCCCGGGGCGGACGTGGCGGGCGTGGCGGGCGTGCCCGGGGGTCCCGCTCCTCCCCTCGCGTGGGGTCTCCGCGGGCACGGGCGGGTGGGACGCGTGTCCACGCACTGGCGCTGGCGGGCGCGACGGCGCCCCCTCGGCACTCGCTCTCCTGCCCGCAATTTAGCACTGGCCGCCTGGGTGCTTTTCGGGGGCGCCCGGAGGTGCTCGGGGGTCGCCCCCGGCTCCGCACCCGGGAGTTGCGCCTGGAGGCTCCAGGGCCGTGCGGGACGACGCCGCGGCGAGCCAGCCCAGCTCCAGCTTACCGCGCTTTTCCTTTCTCTCTATTTTTTCTTTACTTTTGGGGTCCCACCCGGAGATGCTCAGGGGCCCCTCCTGGCTCTGCACTCAGGCATTCCCCCGGTGTTGCTCGGGGACCCTGTGGGATGCCGGGGATCGAACCCGGGCCGGCCTCGTGCGGGGCTGGCGCCCTCCCCGCCCTGCCAATCGCCCGGCCCCGCCCCTGTTTTAACGGTCGCGACTAATGAATCTCAAGGCGCTCTTTGGGTCCTTGTTACCCGTCATGCGTGATGCCTGTGCGGGCCGAACCGGCCACCTCTGAAGTTCCGAAAACGGATCGCACCTCGGAACGCCGCCCGTTTCTTGCAGATCAACACATGAATTACTGCGGGCGCCCGAGGAACGGAGTTCCGCGGATAGGCTGCCTGTCCTGCTGCCTGCCCTGTGCGCCGCTGACCTGGGCTTGGTCCCCCAGCACCCAAAAGAGTGATCCGAGAGCAGTCAGGAGTAAGCCTTGAGCACTGCTGGGTGTGATCCCACGCCCAAATCATCTTGAGAGTAAATAATAATAATTCCAGCCCCCTCACTTAGCAAATGCTTCTTTCACCTACATTGAAAGTTTCATTTAAATGATTACAGATAATGGTTAGCTTAGAAGAGTGACTTTAGAGAAAACACCCTCGGCCTTCACCTGCTGCTCCAAAGGTCCCAGATCCTTCTCCTAGTTGAAATCAACGTTCCCAGCCAGCATTTGTGCATTATTATTATTTTTTTCTTTTTGGGTCACACCCAGCGATACTCAGGAGTTACTCCTGGCTCATGCACTCAGAAATTGCTCCTGGCGGTGCTCGGGGAACCATATGGGATGCTGGGAATCGAACCTTTGTCGGCCATGTTGGCTGCATGCAAGGCAAACGCCCTACCCGCTGTGCTATTGCTCCAGCCCCTGTGCATTATGTTTTTAACCAGTTTCCTTCAAGTTACCACCCTGGGAGTTTTCCTAAAGTAGAAACCCTCCCTCTGCCAACAAGTATTCCCAAATGCCAGCAGTTTTCGCCAATTCCTTACAAAACAGAAAAGGAGGCTATCTAGGGAATTTTCTAGAAAGTCAAGAGAAGTAATTTTTAAATGTCTTCACTTACTCCTCTGTAAGTGCTCTTTTGTTATGTGGGAGAAACAGGGTTCCTCCGTTTGCTTTTGTCTCGGGTTTCGCCTCCCTGCAGAAGTGTGCCCTTTCTCACCCCTTTACTTGGCTAAGACATTCGATTTTAACATTGATTTCTTTCTCCCCTCCCTTTCTATGACCAATTCATCCGAGATTTGGGATCTGTCTTTCCTCCTGCTTTTGCTGTATGCATCAGGGCGAGAAGAAGAGATGAAATCACAGCTGGGCCTGGACCTCAGTGAGCGAGTGCCCAGCCTCTCAGCCCCCGAGTTCCATCCTAGGTGCCAGTCTTGAATATCGCAGACCCCCCGAGTTTCAGAGTTTCAGCCAGTACAAAAACAAAATCAGAAAATTCTAAAAAGGGTCTAAAGCATCGGGTTTTTTTTTCCTTTAGAGTTTGGGGGCTAAGAAATCAGTAAACAATAATGATGAAAGAATCGTAGGTGAGAGAAGCATTTACCCAACTCAAATAGGAAAGACAAAAGATAATACATAGGTAAAACTATTACAATTGAAGAGATGAAGGAAGCGGCAGGCCGAGAGGACCATGCAGTGTTCGCCGGGCATCCCGTTGGCCAAGTTCCCTGCCCAGCACGACACAGGGTCCCCCCAGTCCCACCAGGCATGATCCTTGACTGCAGATCTGGGAGTGAGCTGAGCACCACCGGGTGTGGCCCCTAAAACCGAAATAAATAAAAAGGGATTAGCTTAAAAATTTGCTATAGGGGCTAGAGAGATAATATATCCCAGAAAAGTGCTTGCCTCACACCTGCTGCCACAGTTTGAGCCTCAGCCTCTGACATGGTCCCCTGGACGCCGCCAGAAGTGATTCCTGAGTGCAAAGCTAGAACTGACCCCTGAGCATCACCAGCTGTGGCTCCAGCACACACACACACACACACACACACACACACACACACACGGAATTTACAGTTTTCCAAGAATAAAAACTGAAGAAAATGAATATAAACAGGAGAGAATCTAAGGTCAGAGGAATTTTGAATGTTTCAGATATAAGATCTAGCACTAGCACTATCCTCCCGTTGTTCATCGATTTTCTCGAAGGGGCCCAGTAACGTCTCCATTGAGACTTGTTGGTTCTGTGTTTGGCATATTGAATACGTCACAGGTAGCTTGCCAGGCTTTGCCGTGCGGGCGAGATACTCTTGGTAGCTTGCCGGGCTCTCCGAGAGGGGCAGAGAAATCGAACCCGGGTCGGCCAGGTCAGCCGCATGCAAGGCCCTACCTGATGTGCTGTGTAAATTAAGGAAACACATTGTTTAGGCCAGAGACAGATTTTGTTTATTCGTGGGCCACAGCTGATGATATTCAGGGCTTACTCCTGGCTCAGTGCTCACGGTTCACTCCTTGCCAGGCTGAGGGACCGTATGCAGTGCCAGGGATTGGATCCAGGTTGGCCATGTGCAAGAGAAGCAACTTACCTCCTCTGCTGTCTCTGGCCCAGAGGTGGGGTTTGGGGCGGGAGCGGTGAAGATCACCTGGCAGCCATACACACCAGCTCCCTGGCAGAGCGGTCAGCCCTAAGGGCAGCACCAGGGGCAGACATGACCACGGCTCGAGGCGCTCAGGGCCAGCAGAAGGGCAGTGCCACCACCCAGAAACAGAGGGAGCCGTGGGGTCCACCCAGAGCCTCTGCGGTAGTTGGCCTATTTCCAAGAGCTGGGCTCTGGGGAGAGAGCCCAGGGGCTACTTCCATACTAGTGGGTCTCACGTGACGTGGATGTGAACACGCCCAGGACTCTTCATTCTAACCTGGGGGGCGGGAGGGGAAAGGGGCTCAGAGCCCTGTGTGGGACACACATATTTCTGTAGAGGAAACTGAAACTGAGAGCTAAAGGCCTGGGGCCCGAGCTCAGGCCCGGGCACCCCCCTGGCCCCGTGGCACTGTGAGCCCCGTAACTAAAGTGTGTGGCACTGCAATCGAGTGTGAGACCTCTGCCATCACTCTAGCAAAGTCCGCCATGGGAAGGGGAGGGAGTGCATTTAAAAAAAAAACAGTATACCTTGTTAGATTGGGGGGAGGAGGCAGGGAGGGCGAGTTGCCTAGCCAATAAGGAAACCCACAGCAAAGTTTCTTTAAAACAAAAATCAGGGCTGGTGATAACACAGTGGGGAGGGCGTTTGCCTTGCTTATGACCAACCCGGGTTCGATTCCCCGCATGCTGTATGGTTTCCCGAGTACCGCCAGAAGTAATTCCTGAGTAACCCCTGAGTCAGGAGTAACCCCTGTGCATTGCTGGGTGTGACCCGAAAAGAAAAAAATATCACCCAGTACACCCCAGAGAAAGGTGAGAGAGTTCTGTTAGAAAGCTCATTTGATAGGATGCAGGGAGAGAGGGGGGCACCCCTCATGGTGCTCAGGGCTTACTCCCGGTTCTGTGCTCAGCGATAGCCCCTGGTAGGACTCGGGGGTCCATGTGTGGTTCCAGGATCAAAGTGGGGTCCACTGCTTGCAAGGCAAATACCTTGACCCCTGTACTCTCTCTGGGCCCACCAAGCTCGTTTGAAATGTAAATCTCATGATGTAAATACCTTTTTAAATCAGCAATAAAATACACATTTGTCCCCGATGTCAGGTGTTTCAAGTTTCCCCCAAGGGCGCTGGAGAGAAAGCGTGTGTGTGTGTGTGTGTGTGTGTGTGTGTGTGTGTGTGTGTGTGTTGGGCGCTTGCCTTGCGGCTGACGGTAGTTTTAAGCTGCCTTGGAAAAATCTTCTGGAGAAGACGGGAGCACTGGGTCCCCCTCCCGCCCTGCCCCCTCCCCGCCTCCCCGAGCCTATCCCGGTGCTTCTGCTCCCCACCGCAGGGCCCCAGGACCCTCCTTTCCTGGAGCCACTCACAGAACTCAAAATCTTATTCTTTTTCAATTTTATTCTATTTTGGGGTTTGGGGCCCACACCCAGCTCTGTGCTTGGGGTGGGGGAGGGACTCAGCCAGGAGGTTGGGGACAGGGCTCAGGGCCACCCCTGGCAGGATTGACCCTCGGGTTCCTGGCCCCACACCATCTCATTAGCATAACAAAGTCCTCCGCTTGTTCCTCGCAGAAAGGGAACAAAACTAAGGTCCCATTCTCTCGGTGATGGGAGGCGCCCTCGCCCTCCTCCACACCTCCTACCCCCACCCACCCCGCCGCCCCGAGAAGCGTGCCCCGCTTTAACTCAGCAGGCAGCCCCCTCACCCTCTGGCCCATAATTCCCGGGCACGGTGCCAGGGGAGGTTTCTCTCCCAAAGATAAGATCTGGAGAATTCTAAAGGAGCACTTTACTGCCAAATTGATTTTAAACCAAATGAGGCATTAAAACATTTGAGGGACAAGCATTTGTCTTTGAGCCGGTCTTACACTTTTCAAGATAAATCTTGCTTTCCTTTGTAGGAAAAAATCCTGATT